TCAATAACTATAACTATGGACTTTAGTTCGTTGTTATCCTTTTTTGGTATTTCTGCTTTATCCGCTTTAAGCAAATAATCGATATACTTTTCATAATAGAATACTATATATTTTATTCATTGACTACTCTTTAAGTGTATATTCAATGAATTTATACTTACATATATATATATTAATTGGCAATATTGGGTAATTTTATGAATTCTTGGGGTACCTATTTTAAAGGAAATATTGATATTAATATTCAATGAGTATACTTGGGGAAATACTTGTGTTAAGCCAAAACTAGCAGATGAAGGCAGACATGTCAGATAACTTAGTAGAGCTGAAATATTGATGAACAAGTGCACTTCCACAGCCTGCCGGACTCAAAAAAAACATCTTAGGGGTGCAGTGCCATCTGAAAACACCATATCTGGAAAGAGAACCCATCACACCATCTACTCTGAAACCACTGTAGGTGTTTTGATCGAAACTTCCCTCAAAACCCACCGTCGCCGCTCTGACTGCCTCGATGGCTGCAAGCTCTCCGGCGCGGCCCATGGACTGCGTCGATGGCGCAGTCCGGGCCGCAGAATCTAAGTGATTACGCGTCTTTTCACGTTGGCTCCCCATTTGCCAGTGAAAGTTCCAGACTAAGACGGACTCAGAAGGCCTGGTGTGATCCCAAAAACCACCAAAGAGGTATCATGTTCAGCATGAGGACCGGCGGGCCGGATTGTTTTCTGTGTTGTTCCGCATGTTCAAGTATATATATATATAAATACGTATACCGTATATACGTATGTATGCTCTGCGATGAAGTTTACTGTAAGCGCACATGCAGCATCAACTGCAACATACTGCAACGTAAGCAGTTGTTTGGCAGGATCAACTGCAACAGGTTCGAGCTAAAAATACAAGATTAGCACATGTTGGCACACACTGTATAGCAGGCCTTTTGTGTATGCTTGAGCGGAAATCCAATGGCCGGCAAATTTGAGTTGCCACATTCAAATGACCATTGATCCACCAACGCAAACGAAAAATACATACTTTGCCTCAAGATCAAAAGAAACTGCGGCAAACATTGGCACAACGGCCGCCATGCCTGCACCCGGCACCAAACCAAAAACACGACCAAACCAAACAAGACTCACTGTTGCCCTTGAACGACCTGGAGCCACTCAGGTGTTGCAGAAACGCTGGCCCCAACACTGCCTTCTAATGCCTCAACCTCTGCGTGTTTGTGCGTGATTCAGGCCCAGCCTGCGTCGCTCAGTGCCCCCCCCCATTTGTTCATGCGATCCTGCGCAAATGAGATTCATGCTAAGCCTCCCCAGGCATGGATTGTAAAAGATGTTCATTCTAGTGTAATTGGTGCAAGCCCAACCGATGCCAAACACATCCCATAAAGTGTCAGAACACATGCCAGAGCAGCCCAAACAAATGTCAGAACGCATCCCAGAACGTTCAATGATATGTCAGGACAAATGAGAAGGGAGGGGAAGATGGACACACTTGGTGGTCAACTCCCTCAGTGTGGGGTGACATCGTTTCTTGCATTTCCTTCTGCTCTTATTAGCCAAGGAAAGCAGAAGGCTGAGAGACGCAGCATCTCGCTTTGAAACTCGAGATGGTAGACTGAAACCCATATACACTATGCCTGGATCAACTCCCCCATCCACTGTTGGCAAAGGATAGATGGATTTCGATCCGTACAACAGTCCGACTCCCTTGGACCTCTATAGCTCTGAGGGGTGCCCTTTTTCATCCAACTAACAGCCCGACATTAAAAAGGGCACCCCTAAGCAACTCTAAGGTTCCTGACTGCATTCTATTCCTCTCCTGTCCTCTACCTACACTCATAACTCTGGTGAGCCCACCTCAATATGGGTACCCCTCTTTAAGGAGCAAAGAAGAGATCCCATATGAACCAAGACGCAGCTGTAAAGATGAAGCCCGCAAATGGCCTCCTGCATTGTCCGAACCCTATCTCTGTAAGAAAGAGGTTCTGGCTTGCACAAATCTCGCCGCTTCTGTTCTCATCTGTCTTCTAACTGGATGGACGCGCCTCAGTGTGGGATGACCTCTTTTCTTGCACTTCCTGTCGCGCAGCTCCCCTTTCCTGTCCTTTAGTCTAAACAGTCTCCTGAGCACTTCGTGAGTGCTCTACCAACCCCCACCCCTAGTCAATAGACAGCCTCATTGGTCTCCTGAGCACTTCGTGAAGCTAATGATGCACTATTCAGCGCCAGTTGCATCACCCGCATCAAGACCCCCTAACTTTAAAGCATACATGTTCACTACCTTCCTGACCGCCTCCTTTTTCGCTCTCCCCCACCAGGCTCTGGGTTCACCTACCCGGTGAGACAGTTTGCAACCACCCCCCGCCACACCCCCTATACTTACTTCGTTCGCCCATCGACAACTCCACCCTAGCCTATCGGCTAGATGTCGTAATTAATTACGCAAATTGTGTTGGAACAAATGTCAGAACATATGCAGCTCATATGTCAGGCAATATGGTTTGTCAGGTCCTTTGTTAGGTAGCAATTGCAATGTCAACACGCATGCCCTTCTTCCAAATTTCCTCGCAGGGTGGGGATCACTTCAAGTAAAGTATAGCGTCTACTCCGGGCACAGCCTCTCTCCCAAAGCACACAGAAAGTGAATGGCTTTCTTGTTGGCTTCTGTTGGCATCGATGGTCCCACAATCATAAGAGATTGCATCCGATTGCACCATCGCCGTCGCCCCTTTTTTCATTGGCACAGCCTGAGCAAGGCAGGCTCAAGTCGCTGAGCGCCGCATCTGTGGAACTGTGGAACTGTTTGAAGAAAACTTGGCCGCCACACATGGCAAGTAGCAAATGAAGAGACCAAAACGCAATGGTTCTTGTCTATTCTTCAGTGACTTTACTGTCTAGTGGACCAAAAGTGGGGAGACATCTGTTGAAAAGCACAACGTAGAAAACGCCAACGAACGCCAGTCTTGCGCCAGCATGAACAGTCCATGCCTCCATCTTCCCAACCGTCCGGCGCCGGACTTCCCAGTGGGTCCAGGTCCGCAGGCAAAACCACCCGGGCTGCGGTGTTCCACCCGCGTCGTAAGCGGTGGGATGCCAAGCGGTGGGATCGCTGCTGTGACCCGGGGGAGTTACACAGGGGGTATCCGAAGAATCTTCGGTGGCTGAGCATCTTCGGTGGTTTTCACCGTTGCGGTTCACTCGAAGGCAGAGTTCTGCCGCCCAAAAAACATGCTCAAACGCTGCTGAGCCGCTTCTGCTCTCCTTTGGAACTAGCAGGCTCAATGAGGCTCGATGTACCAAAAAGGTTTTGGAGTTCCTTCCAGGTCAGGTGTTGCATGCTACACCTGAAACATCCTGAAGACAAAGAGCTTGATGAAGCTACCAGATCTACCGAAGGTCACAACTTGTCATAAAAGGTCGGTGTTGACTGAGTACGTCGGTCCATCGTTGTCTTCGGCGCAGCGCAGTACGCATGACATGCTATCCCGTCCGCCCCCCCCGGAGCGGATGGCACACCAGAACATACCAGAACAAGGTCAGTAGGGCTATCCTGGGCCTGTGGGCTTCTCAAACGGCTCGATTTAAACAAGCGTCCTCTTCCACTCCAGACCTTGTCAGGATGCTCGTGGGCCAAGCTGCGTTACAAACGAGTTGCGAAAGGAGTGGCAGCACAGGAGTTGCACAAGGCCTCTGGAGGGCGTGTGACGGTTTTGACTGTGGTCCCAGGCAGTCACATGCACATGCAAGGCATCCTTCCAGAGTTTCTGCAGAAGGTCAGCCCTCGCATGTCAAGCACCCAAAGCAAAATGATTCATGAGACAATGCGGAGCTTAGTGAGCTTGCCTGCCTGAGTCTACACAGGAGTGCAGCAAGTGCTCAGGGACCTTCTGATAGCTACTTACTGCTGGTCTCCAAAATGAACTGCTGCATACCCAGCTGTCGGAATGTGCACCGCAAATGGAGGTTGCGCAAAATACCCTTTTCCAAAACTACTCTTATGGCGAACCTTGCGCGAACCAAGACCACCTTCTATTGATCAAAACCATCGCGTTACTAAATTCTGCTGTGCGGCCGGCGGCCGCGTTGGTTATCCCCAGCCTAGCAGGAAAGGCTACGAACATACTGCGACAAGAATTGTTCCAACAACTTTGACTGGCTGGGCCCCTGGGCTACGCAAATCCAATAAGGAGTCTCTTTTCCAACTCCGGCAAAAAAACCTAGATCTTCGTATGTAGAACTTATCTGAAAAAGTTGCCGTTTAGGTGGCACAAATCTGAAAATCACATGCTCAATGTCGAGCTTCAGACCTGAGCTATGGTGTTTCGAGCTTCTGGCTCAGACTGATAAGAACCTGGGTCATTTGTAAGACTTTGGGGACTCAGAAGCGAATACCTCAGGCGTGTTTGTGGTTTTGCATCCTGATCCATTTGGTATTCTTGATTGTTCCATCGCTTTTCCCTTTGCAAAAACCGTGCCTAGCATCGCCATGATCACATATGATCACATCACACATGAAACTAGCCATGATCCTCTCGCCAAGTTCGGAATAAAAAGACTGGCATTCACCATTTCGACGTGCATTCCCAGTGCAGGATCTCAAGCAACTACTGGGAAATTAGCCGCACATCTCATCATGTTCGATCATCTTCGGCATCTGAGAAGGCGTAAATCTGTGTAGCTCCCCCATGCATATATTCATTGCAAGCTCGTAGCTAGATATAAATACTTCCAAAAGGAGTCAAATTGGGAGTTGGGAAGACGAAACAATGTCGAGTCCCCAAGTTAAACAAGCATGCGGATTGTGATGCAGGGATCATGGAGCAAACTCTTGGGACTTGGTAGAAACCTGTTGCTGTTGGAAGAATATGGCTAAGTCGGCTAAGTCTATCCATGAGTCTGGCATGTGGCCATGAAGGACTGCCCTCTGGGCCAGACTTTTTGCCACACGGGGATGCGTTGGCAGGGTTTGGGTTCCAGATCTGCGCGTGTCAGGCCTGCTGGATTCGAGTGGTTCTTCTGGCAAACTTGGAGCCCACAAGAGAATGGGCAGGGGTGCTGAGATGCGCTGAGACTGCTCTGAGACTGCTTAAATGTCTAGGGTCTGATAAACCACGAGTCTCAGCCAACATCCATCCTTATCGACGTCGGCCGCTTGCGGGGTCTTGGCTGTCTTCCCGAGGTCTGGCAAAGGGAAACAAAGGAAGAGCATGCTTCAGGATAGCTCAGGTGTGCTGCAACGACCGCAGGCAGTCGCTTCGAAAGAGACCAAGACCTATAGGTCACCGGTCACGGGGCTGGGAGGGTCGTGGCAGCCGTGGCACCTCAGAATTTCTAGTGGGACTCCACCAAATGCACCGTGGCAGCCGTTGCCCATGAACCCCATGACCTCATCAACCTCTTCAGCAGTTCTCCCAGAGATCTGCAGGTCCGACTCAGTCCCTCCGAGGCCAAGCCGCCCAAGGAGCAGCCCCCCAACCCGCCGCTTGCGCCACTTGGCCGCAGTGGGTGTAGCTCTTTGTGTGGGTACAAATTGGGGCCCAAATAAGCCCAGTAGGGTCCAGCAATTGATGTGCAAGTGTGGTCGAAGACAAAAAGCAGGAAGCTATGATCCACTTCTGGCTGCTCTCTGCGGGTGATGACAGCTGGCAACACTTGAGTGTGGTCGTCAGCACCGACGCCAGGTCTTAACTGGCTCAATGAGTGCCCAAGATCTTCAAAATCTGGAGAGGCCAACGCTCTGAAGCTACATACTAGTATATACTAGAAGAGCTTGACAAAGCTAACACAAGCTCCGGCACCACACCTAAACACCTCTCATCCTTGCACCTATCATCGCACATGACATGCATCCCAAGGCGTCCGATCTCCAAGAGACCTGTTGATGACAATGACTCAGTTCACACAAAGTCGTTTTCACGGTGTTATACACCAGAACAAGGTCAGTGGGGCTATCCTGGGCCTGTAGGATTTTCAAACGGCTCGATTTAAACAAGCTTCCTCTGCCACTCCAAGCCTTCTGTCTTACTAAGCTCGAAACTGGACAGTTTATAACGGTTATGATGCTCATAACTGTGGCCCAGGATGTTCGTGGGCCAAGCTTGTTACGAACGAGTTGCGACAGGAGTGGCAGCACAGGAGTTGCACAAGGCCTCTGGAGAAACAAATGTTCTGGCTGGCCTGGTAGCGTTGCACGGGTTGAATCTTCTGCACTGTTTGAGCTCAGTTGGCACGTGTCAAAGAGTATTCCGGCTCACCTCCCCTGGACTGTTTCGGTGGGACGAGCCACACACGTCTCCCCAAATTGCGTGCCTTTCGGCATGCTTTGGGCACCCGCCTTCCGAAAACAACATAAAAACTAGGTCCACGCAACGGCACACACACAGAAGCGCAGGTCTCCACAGAACCGCAGGTTTCTCCAACAGCTTTCGGTCAAGAACCCACCGGAGCTCCCGATGCATGACGAAACCGGACACCGGAGCTCAGGCTCAGCGCCGTCGCAGCTCGGTGCGAGGTTCTGCTAGGCTAGCCCAGCAGGGCAAAAGGACAGCTTTTTGTCCCGAAACCCCTTGGTAGCAGCAGCTGCCGTGTGTTTTTTGTTCAATTTCAACCGTTTCTCTGAGACAGTGGGGTACATCTTCCTTTTGATAGAGCGACCATCCAATCTGTGCACCTGTGGACTTGTCGGTCGCTTGAGACGACAGTCAGGAGTGGACAGCTTAACTCCCAGTAGAGGCTAGAGGTATCCAGTGAAGGACCTGGTCGACCTGGTACCCGCCTGGGATGGTCGAAGCAGTCAGGTCCTTCAACCTTCTTGTTAGTGTTGCATCCACCCAACCCTGCCAGGCCTGCCAACCCGACCGATCACTTCTGTCTGCTGACCACCAGCCTTGCATCCGCCACTGGCGTCCAGTCGACGCGCGATAGAGAGAGGCTCCTGGAAGTCACGCTGCAGCTGAGAGCTGGTCACGCCATCTTCATCGTTCTCAGGGTGTGAAGTGCAGGTGGCAGCTGCTTTCGCCAAACAAGCCAGAAGCCGAAAAAGACAGCTGGAGGCAGATATCTAGGACATGGACTTGTAGCTTCTTATTCACTACGAGTGGTTCCTGTCACTTTGGAACGCCTTGCGACCCTTTGGTCGAGACGTTCGTTGGTCGTCGCAGAGCGCACTTTCTCGAACCGTCCGGTGATCGCGGTTTAACCCGAACAAAGCACCTCTGCGGCTTGACCTCTGCCCAAGAAGGAGGCTTATAGTGGTTTCAGTGGGCACAATCCCCAAGTTAGGGGGGTTAAATGGATCCCTATCTAGAGGACATCTTCGGGTTTGTGCAATCTAGTCTGACAACACTGTACTTGGCACGTTGCAATCAGACCGCTTAAAATCCGCAGTGGAAGCTCACTCAGCCACGGCCAGCCATTGGAAACCTATTGTTATGGAAATTGCAAACAGCCCAAAGCCGCGGATACAAACACTTAGAAAGGACGAGAAAGGTTGAGATTAGCTTTATGAAGAAATGCGTACTGGGTACACAGCTTCAAGTCTGAGCAGCCTCCTCCCTTCTCAACCTATCAACCAAAACCCCAAGAAAGCCAACCTTTTGTGCCAACAAGGTCTTAGACTCTTGGAGAAACACTTCCACAACCCTAACGGAACCCTCATTGCGAGGGCTTTGACCCTCACAGCCCGGGTTTGGGACCTCGGTCTATGAGCCTGTGAGTTACATGAGTCTCTGCTCAAACCAGAGTCTGCTCGTTTAAGAAAATATGTTTTACATGTTTTTGAATGCAACTCGGAGATGCTCGCGTTAAACAACCTTGCGCTAATTCCAAACGATGCAAAACGTGCATGTTTACGCGGCAGGATGAACGCCATGATGAGCCATGGGGGTGGACCACAAAGCTCCAAGTGGAAGCCAGGAGAGTGGTGGTCAAAATGGATCAACATGGATCAACATGGTATCAAGTTGGTGGTCAAAATTGAATCAAGTTTCTGGTCAAAAACAAAAACATATTATCTGAATTTGATCTGGATTCTCTGATACGTTGATCCTCCAATCCCTTCGTAAGCGCGGGTTGCTTAGCAGCTTGACGCAATCCAAACCGTGTGCAATGCATGGCGAGGGTCGAGGTAATGGCACAAGCCACGAGGGCTGGCTTCGGTCATGGATGTTGAATCGCCTGGTCCGGCGGTCCGGCTCTTTTCTGCACAGGCATCCATCCATCCACCGACCCACCGACCCTCCTCGTTCTGGAATGCCTAGACTTGTGCAATTCTGCCGTGCATGGTGTGCCAGTGGTAGTGCCGAACCAACCAAACGGAAGTGTTCCAAGTCACAGAATGGCAAAGCGGTGATCCCAAATTCAATCGACACAATGGTGCACACAAGCCCACAGCCATGGCAAATACAATGTGGGCAAGACCACAAAGTGTCACCGCGGATCTTGTCAGTGGTACGCTGGAGATTGGGCCGGCTTCGCGCCAAAGGCTCTTGATGTGACAAATGTCGTAAGTTTAGCCATCGTATGCCTTTGTGAAAACACCAACGTTTTACAAAAGCATGTCAACCTTGGCACTGTTACAGTCCTGTTTCAACATTGAAGGATTTGGCAAAACTATGAGAAGCAAAGGATTGAAATTGAAACCTCCCCAAAAGCCAGTCAAGTTGAGGCATGTGTTAATCATTGTTAATCCTTTGGAACCCGAAAGGCCTTCTTAATCAGCCCCCTTTCATCGACCCAAGCATTTCTCCTGGATGAGCTGTTGGATCCGCTGTTTAAAAAAACAGCCATTGATGAAGAAAGCACCCGAGACTTCTTGAAGATGATGCTACAAGTTCACCGACTTTTCAAGAAAAGGTCGGGAGTAAGGTCGGGTCCCATGGTCAAAACCTGCCTACAATCTTGTCTAATTACGACCGGCGTCAGCAGCCTGGTGCGTGCGTTTGGATCGTGTGGTGCCCCAGCCCGGCGTAGTCCAAAAGGTGGTCATATGCCAGGCAAACTGCAATAGCAACTCTTGCAAGAATGTAAGACACAATGATTACCAGGGTCATCCAATGGGTGTCCAATAGACTACCCTACCTTACTTACAGGCCTCCATTGGGCACCCATTGGAAGTGTAGGTAGGCAAATATCATTCTGAATCATGCAGTATAGTATATATCTATCGTACGAAGTGGGAAGAATGAAACATTCACTTCCCTGAGCTTATCATGCGAAGTGAGGTTTGTACCATACAGTTTCCACGAAAGCCTTCCGCAAGCTTCCCAGCCAGCAGTGTTGGAAACTGCAAGCAAGCTAGAGTTGACCAGTTTGGTTCATCTGCTTGTGAGAGGATTTGTTCGCTGCTCAAGTAAGTCGATACATAAGGTATTGGCCGTGTTCCTTGATGCCGTTGTCTTCAACCAGGCCGACTTGGGTCGTCGAAAAGACCACCAGAGTTCGTTCGGCAGGGCATGTGCTCTCTTCATGAAAATTGACCTCAGAGACCCCAGATCCTAAGCAACACTGAATGCTGGTAAGAGTCGCGTTGGTCTTGGATTTTGGGGCTGTTGGCAAGCGGATTGTGATCGAAAGGGGGGCTGCGCCCATGCCTCCTGAATCAACTTCCCCTGGTCCAGCTTGTTTGTGCACCAATCCACCTCATCCTCCTTCTGGAGTGCCTAGATTGGGCCTAGATTAACGCAGTGCAATTCTGCCTGGCAGGGTGTGCCAGTGGTAGTGCCAAACGAACCAAACGGAAGTGTTCCAAGTCACAGAAGGGGAAAGCAGTGATCCCAAATTCAATCGGCACAATGGGGCTTATGTACGCCCACAGCCATGGCAAAACTGATGCGGGCGAGACCGCATCCCTAGGGCCCTTGGGCCCCAAGTACCTCCTCAAAAGGTAATTTGGACCCTCGAAACCTACCCCTGTCTCCAATCACCTTCTCACGTGTGGCAGGCAGAAGCAACGAAAGCTTTTGAAGCGACAAAGGAGACAAACTTAGCCTTTGTGACAACCTTGCTGCTTTACGGCAGCAACAACCTCAACATGGTCAGTTGCCTGTCATTGTCTGGGTTCTGAATGGTTTTGCTCAATGTGTCAGTTAAACGTTCTTTTCCCGCCCGTGGTCTCCTCTGTTCTGGCAGTAGATAGATCCTTCCACGGCCGTCGACGGCCGCGCTGTTACTGTTCACCCCGAATGCCGACAAGTCAGTGACCATTCCCCCTCTCAGCCGACTGACTACTCTCAACTCTTGCGACCTACCGCCAAACAGTTTGTCTCCTCTCAGCGTACATCAGGGGTTCATGAACCACCTGAACTGGGTGGTGCTGGGGACGTTTGGTTTCCTGATCATTCCAGCTTGCATCAAGATTTGGGGAGTCATGTCCCATCGTCTGCACTGACCACACTCGATCAGTCGAACAGCACGCTTTTTCATTCGCCAAAGATCGATTGGTCGGCGGTCTGGGCACAGCTGTAGACGAACAGCCACCACTCCCAAGT